AATCTGGAAAGGAAGAATCACATTATTAACTGGTTGCAAAAGCAATGTGATCACAGTTCTCCTTGTACAGCAAGTGGCCTCACATCGACAGGGAAAAGTGATTTGTATGTCCTTTGCTGCCATTCTTTTTGCAGGTTTTGAGATATTTCTTTTGGCTTGATTCGGGGAGATGATTTTGGGTGATTTTTTAGTGAAAGAGCATAGCATGCATTGGGGACTTATCCCAATACAAATGACCTTTTCAGATAATTACAATTAGCTAGTGGGGATGGGGTTGGGGGTGTGAGGAGGAGAAAGAGCTTATATTTCAGGACACTGATGGTCAATTTCCAATGGGCTGTTCAATTTTTCATATTTTATTGTGTCTGTATTTTTTAAATAGACTAATGCAATTCCCCACATTTATTTGTGCTATGCTTAGCCTCTAGCATGCAACTGCCAATCAAGAAGACAAAATAAAAGCTTTTATGCAAACATAAAAAGGAAATTGATCACACATCAAAAGAAGACATACAATCGTATGTGACTGAAACGCCAAATTGGGAGCAAAATAGTACGAAATGTAGTTTGAAAATTTTCTTATTATTGCTTATTATTCAATCTTTGTGTAAGCTACAGAGAATTGTGGTCTGGCCGCTAGATTGGTGGGGAAAACTATAAAAATAAAATAAATAAAATTTTGTCTAGGGGACAGAAATGAATCAAGGGAACGATTCTTATATTTCTGTGAATCCAACCTTATGTTTATTGTAAGTACAGGCTTCACACAACCAAATAGATAGCTGTGGAAGTGGAAACTATCAGACGGTCAATAGAGAACTCAGAGTCTATAATTGGGAGCAGGAGATAGAAAAGTTATATTCTCTCTGCCAAAACAAGATCAGGAGCAGATTGTTGGACTGATCATGAAACTGTTTTGTATATAATATTAGAGTAAAGCTGATGACTAATAGTGTCAAAAAATAATTTAAACAATATTCCTGATCAATTTAAATACATTTAAAGGACAGATTTGCCTCTCTAAACTCAACTTTCATGCAATTTGTATTCCTAAACATCACCAAGAGAAATGTGGATTGATACCAGGGCTATTATTAGGGAGGCATGCAAAAAGACAATTCA